AAAAATCCCAGAAGACGACAGTGGCACACGACTTCTGCACTGTCCAAGAAGTCATCAGGAGTTGAACTCTACTTGAAGGAGACTCCACATTACTCTCTTGACCTCAATAAATCCAAACATTTCAGGAAAAAATAGAGTGGACTGTAGCATGTTCTATCCACTTATGCCCTTCATTTGCTTCTTGAAGTGCAATTACCTTCAACAGCCAACTGGGAACTCATCTCCCAGTGAGATGCTTGTTCAGCATTTGCTCCTCTTTTGCACATGTACAGATGCAAGAATTTGCTTAACCATCTGTCAATTATTTATTTTTCTTCCTTACCGGAAAGAGAATTAAATATAATTAGGCATAAGGAAAGTTGAGGATAATTGTTTGCAGCAGCAGCAGAATAATATCCATGCTGAAAACTGAACCTGGAAGATTACTCCAAGGTCCCTAATTGCAATTTCTACGTCTCTGAGACTCTTTGCAAGTCCCCCCCTGCCCCCCCCCAAAATGCCAGCAGTCTCAAGGACAAGGACAAAACAACTAAGTCACTGTGTTACCAGCTACTTTACCCAATTAGAAATCAAAGAGAGGCTTCTGAGGGAGGTGGAGAAAGAGAAGAAAAGAAGCTTAAATCTTTGCAAACGAATGAATCAGTTGAAGCTTTCACAGATGTGTCCAGGTTGGAAATGCTAGAATTAAGTGGCAGTCTCCAAAACCATCTGTTGAAAGTTCTGTCAAGATCCTAACCAACTGGTGCTTAGCAAATTGATGTAGGAAAAAGGCAAATTTTCACATACTGAGAAATAATATTTAAGGAAAAAATGGTATACAGTCTCAAAGACATTCAGTTTACTTCATGTATTCTAACTCAAAGAATCAGAATGCTAGATTAAGATAAGACAGAATTCCAGCAGAGCTATTCTTATTTCCTTCTCTTGTTATGGACTCCTAGATCCCATCTGTTTCTAGGACAAGGCTTCCTCTCTCCTCAAACAGCACTTATCCTTAGACTTGAGAATAGAATTGGCCCATTCCTGAACCTTTCTCCTGTGGTTAGCCTAAGCCTCCTTACCTCCACCTGACTCAAATTCCTTCAATGTATGCATGTGTTCAGTAGACACTGCTTTAGCCAGAATTCCTAAATAATGCACCTCTTTGTGGCTCTCTACCAAAAGCTGATGCTTTTCCCCACTTTTCAAGCATGTATTATCTTCCAAAGTTGCTGATATCAATTTTGAAGGGAAGGGAGGGCTGTTTTTGCAGCTCAGCCATTTTGCTACCAAATTTTAGCGATTGAACAAGCACAAATAGAGTATTGTGGGGCTATATGGTGACCAGCTACAGTATTTGCTTAAAGGAAGAGATTACTAGCCAGAGCAATCTGTTCCAGTGCCTACCAGCCAAAGCAATCTGTCCCAGTGTTTAGTAACCCCAGTTGTTCCTCTAGTGGACTTCTGACTGAAGCAACTACTTTTCAACAAGGTTATGTTTCCAACGAATGTGGTGGAGGAACACCATGCAACTTTAGTCATGGCAATCCTTCACATCCACATCTAATAAATCATTATTAATCAGATGTACATTTAATCACTCTCTTTGGATTGGCCATGGTATCCTAATAAATGGGACTATGCCTATTTATATGTTTAACATTAAATTCCAATATTTTTCTGTAGACTTTAGTAAGTCAAGAAGTTCAGAACAGATGGAAGGAGAAACCTAATATGGAATTAACTGTATTTTGATTTTGGGGAGAGGCACTATCTAAACACATTCATGGAAAGCAACTCTATCCATGTTTTCTAGCCATAACTGACTAAATTAGCCATAATAATATTTAGGGATGAAAGCTCCCTGTTCACAGCACGGTTAAAAATACCAGACAGTTGGGATAGGTTATTCATTAACCATGTTTGTAAGTCTTCCTGTGACATTTGGTTTCTACTGTTGTTGAGAAAAAATTAGAATAATTGTTTTTATCTAGCCAGGCAAATCTTATTTTGTAAATGGCCTGGTCCTGTGCATCTTTATCCCAATGGGGTTTATTCATGACTAAGTGCATGTAAAATTTCAGCCTACATTATGTAGGACAGCTTGATGTCAACCAGCTAAATGTACAATATGATAGACCATCTGGCACTGAAGGAGACAATTACTCCATCTCTATTTTTATAGATTCTAATAACTGCAATTCAGATTATGGAATACATGAAGTTATCTTATTTCACACAGCTAATGAAAACCAGAGTGAAATTAACACGAACACATCATGTCCCAAATCTATAACTGGGAAATAGATTCTGCCTTTTGCCACCATGTTTCTTGGGCCCCAGGTTGAATGTTATGCTGCCAAGTCATTGCATAAAGTACTTTGGGGATGGGGAACTTGTAATGTTTTGGCTTTCTACACCAGATAATAATCTCAGAAAATTAGCTCAGGTTGTTCATTGAGGAAAATGTAATTTTATCTTTATAGCAAATAAAGCAGAATGCAGAAAGCTGACACTCAAGAAGAAGGAGAAGGAGAAATAGCTCATACAATAGACTGATGAAGAAAAACAGAAAGAATCAGTTTCATCAAAATGATAAAATATAACTTTCCTAATCTAGATTTATATGACTAGATAGGAACTGAAATATGAACAGCGCAATAAATACAAGATTGGACGACATCATTGTGCATTTCTCTTTATTGCATTTTACAGAAATTTTCAAAGATTATATTGGATTCACTATTCTTGCACATGTATATTTAGGGATGACAGAAATTTGTTCAATTTGGATTATAATACACATTTGCCTATTGAACTTCCTGAATCAAGACCAAAAACCCCCACTTCTATGATGAAATCTACCTATTCCTATGAATTGAACAACAAATGCAGACAAAACTATATTATGGAAAATATGCAGCAGTGACATATATTAAGGAAAATAATTTGCAAAAATGTTTATATTAGGAAAGGGGAATACAAAAATTCTAAGAATTTTTGTGCGGATAACTTTTTTTTTAAAAGCAAGCTGTTATCA